TAGATGTGCCGGGTACTCGAGGCCAAGCAAAGGAAGACAAAAGCTGGCATTTTTAGAGGCCCAGTAGTTGTAGGCTAGGTCTAGGCGGGTACCAGTCCAACCAGTCCAACCGATCTGAGTCTAAGGCCTGTATAGGCAATATCAGAGTCTGCAATGATGTTTCCCTCCACAAGGGAGGAGGTACCGGTTGCTTGGAGGCCGTGCAACCTAGAAAGTCACCGCCCAAGAGGCAAGTAGGCCGCTATATCTCCAGGAGGAGCGAAGTGCTCCTCCTCATTTGCGGTATGCAAGTTTGGATATTGTGCTGCTTGAGCAAGCACCAGCCTTCAGACCGCTGGAGCAGGGCGGAGCGCTAGGCAGAGCAGCGCTAGGAGAAAGAAGGAGGCCGGGAGCTTCCACCGCGGCAACGGTGGAGCTCTACCGGTAGGAGGAGGAGGGAGAAGGAGGCTAGGGAGGAGAGTGGAAAGGTACCTACCTGGTTATGGTGGGCACCATCTTCTTCACCTTGTTAGGTGCTGCATCTGGAAGGCCCCAGTCGGGGTTGCGCCGCACCAAGAAGGCTTCAAGGCAGAGTCAGGCATGTCGGCCTGCACAGCAGCAAGCATAGCTGCTTTGTGTTGTCCTTTCCACAGCAGGGCGAGGCCCTAGTAGTATGCCATAGCCTTGGCCTACATGAAGAGGAAGAAGAGGGGTGGCCATGGCTATGGTGGACCTCATGTTGTGCCTGCAGTAGAAGATGGATTCGGACATTGATTCTGGTTCAGCCATTCAACATTATAATTGTTATGTATTGTTTGAATACAAGGGGAGGAGAAAGGGAGGAGACTGGTTGGCGAGAAGAAGGGAATTATCATTGGTCTTTGCTGGTGTACATTTTCTTCTTCTTCTTTCTTTCATCGTCTTCTTCTTTCTTTCATTATCTTCTTCTTCTTTCCCTCTCTCTCCTCTCAAGCTCATTCATTTCGTTTTGCAATTGGACTGCATTGTGCTTTCTCATGAATGTGTACTTCGAAATTGGCCAGGATCATAACACTACTCGAGAAATACGTACCTATCTAGTTCTCTCTTCATGCATCTGTCGATTACTCCGTGTCCATCTTGCTACCTACTAGTAGAGAACACACTTGAGAGTCTCCAATATTGAGACCTGGGCACAGGTGGAACTTCATCATGCACAGGTGGAACTTCATCATGCTGCCGGTCCTCCGTGTATCTCTTGATCTACAGATCACTGACACACTGCCACACACATACAAAAAAATTCACAGGGCACAAGACGTTACTACAATGTTTGATGTTACAAAGTGATGCATGTGGTTATGCCAATGCAGTAGGAATCAGCAACAAGTCAGATTTCTGGGGTAAGCAGTTTGTGATGTTGTGCACTTACGAGATTATAAAACGAACAAAGTCGAATCGGAGTTCAAAGAGGAACACAGAGGGCAGCAGACAGCAGAAAAGACACTGCATCCACAAACAAACAGGGAAAAACTGACTTTTTTTTTTTTTTGAAGAACACTAACAACAAGCGCTGACAGAAAGGGGTTTGGTCCTGACCACATGCTTGTGTGAAAGCGAGAAGACTCAGAAGACATACTGGGGTTGTTCAGCCCCAGATGGCAACCCACAGTTGGGCTCCAAACCACATAGAAAGCCCCATGACTCACCACATAAGAAGGGAAAAACAATAAAGAAGTAGGGGGAGGTTTGCATTACCGGGCCACACTTCCTCCCGACACCGACCTCGGATAGTCGTGTGGGGTTTTTCCCAGTACCACGATTCAAACCTGGAACCCCTCAGTCATCCCCGGAACCCTAGGATCGTGAGACCCAAGACTTGCCCCCCTCCAGCCCGCTCAGGATTGCAGCCCCTTCCCGTGAACCCCTGGATGCCAGAACCCCAGGATCGTGAAACCTCCCCCTTTCTCCCCAAAGAACACACCCGGCTTCTAGGATCCCAGGTCTGAGGAAACCCTTCCTCCAAACTCTGAAACACCACCGCCTCCTCTGAGACATGCCATGCTGGGGAACATACCCCTCCCTGGCCCCAAACCCCACGACCACCTCCCCCGAGTCACCTCCACCACCCTGTCCCTGCATTAGACCCAGGACCTATCCCCACTCCCAGAGGGGGGGAGGGGGGAGGGGGGGAGGAAAGGGGAGGAAAAGGAGGGGGTTAGGGGGGGAGGGAAGGGGAGGAAAGGGGAGGGACAGAACGAGACGGTATGGGAAGGGAGCGGAAGGGAAGGGGAGGGAAGCGAAGGGAAGGGAAGCGAAGGGAAGGGAAAGGAGTGGAAGCGCTTTAAAATGCAAGCGAAGGGAAGGGAAGGGAGTGGAAGTGCTTCAAAATGTGCTAAAAACCCGCAACCGGTGAACCCTCCCTCCCTGCCTCCCCTCATTTCGTCCTTTCTTCCTTCCTTCCTTCCTTCCTTCCTTTCTTCCTCCCTCCCTCGGTCCCTCCCTCCCTTCCTCCCCACCTTCTGTCCATTATTCCTTCCTTCTGTCCTGCCTCCCCACTTCTCCTCTCCCCCCCAAACGAACGTCTTTCTGATGGCAAAGGAAGAACGGACAACATGTTCGCCCGCCCTCCCTTCCTTTCCCCCCTTTCTTACTCCCATTTTCTTCCCTCCCTCCCCTCCCTCCCCTCCCGTTCCTCCCTCCCTCCCCTCCCGTTCCTCCCTCCCTCCCTCCCTTTCTTTCTTTATTTCTTACTCACTTCGTTACTCCCTCCATTGCCGTTCCTTCTCCCTTCCTGCCTCCCTTCCTCCCCCTCTTTCTGCCTCCTTCCCCTCCCTTCATGCCTCCCTCCCTCCCTCCCTCCCCCCCTCCCCTCCACCCTCGCCTCCTTCTGTCCTTTATTACTTTTTTCCTTCCTCCCTCCAATAATTCCTTCCTTCCTCCCTCCACCCCTCTTTCCCTTCCTCCATCTTCCTCCCTCCTCCCTTCCTTCCATCCTCCCTCCCTCCTCCCTCCTTTCCTACCCACCTTCTGTCCTTTATTCCTTCCGTCCGTCCTCCCTTCCTCCCTTGATCCCTCCCTCTCTCCCTCCCTTCGTCCTTCCCTCCTCTAACCTTCCCCCCGATAGCGAAGGAAGAACGGACGAAAGCCCTCCCTCACTTCCTTCTTTCCACATTCTTTTTCGCCGTTCCTTCCTCCCGTCCTGCGTCTCTCCTCGCCTCCCTTTCCTTCCTCCCTCCCGTCCTTCATTCCTGCCGTTATTTCTTCCTCCCTCCACTCCTTTTCCTTCTCCCTTCATCCCTTCCTCCTTCGCTTCCTGTTTCCGTCCCTTCCCTCCATCCCTCCCTTCCTTCCTACCCCTCGCTCCCTACCGGTCTTCTTTCCTGTCTCCCTTCCTGCCTCCCTTCATCCCCTATTCCGTCCTTCATTCATTCCTTTTTTCCTCCCTTCCTGCCTACCTTCCCCCCTCTCCTCCCCTCCTCCCCTGCTCCGCTCCTTTATTCCTTCCTTTCTCCATTCCTCCCTTTCCTTCTCCCTTCCTCCCTTCCTCCCTTCTTCCCTCCCTTCCTGCTCCTCTCCCTCCCCTCTTTCCGACCTTCTGTTCCTTCCTTCCTCCCTCCCTCCCTTCCTGCCTCCCTTCCTCCCTTCCTCCCCTTTTTCGTCCTTTATTCCTTCCTTCCCTCCTCCCTTCCGGCCTACCTTCCTCCCTCCTTCCGTCCTTTATTCCCTCCTTCCGTCCTTTATTCCTTCCTTCCTCATCTCCTCCCTTCCGTCC